GGGAATTCCATGAATTTCACATTTAATCTCATTTAATCTGGTCTCATACATTTCTTGATGTGAGTCTCATCAGAACCAAGCCTCAAAAAAATCTGAAAATGAATTATTTCTGAGAGAAATGGCATGAAAAATAACCAGATTTAATTCAAGAACAGTGAAATCAGAGTAATTTTTCAGAATAAACTGTGAAAGATAATCATTCTTTCAAAATCAGAATAAGACTGAGACTGAAGATTAAAATCAGTCTCATTTGATTCATTCAGTGATTGCTTATATAATCAGAATTTGGTAATAATTATTGATAATGCTTATGAAACAACTAAATACATTCTTGTATAAGTTTATTCTTTACTTTCTTATAAAAACTACACTTCTCTGATATACTGTGATCAGTGATATTAAACTATCTGATAATTTCATGTTTTATAATCATGAGTTTCTTGATTATTTCTTCTTGTAATTGTCTCTGATGATAGTGATAAATATCTTGACTTGAGTTGAACTTTCACTTCATTCTCACCTCTATCAATGAAATTATCAGAATATCACATATTATCAGTACAACAGTTGAATATGTACTCTTAACAATTTTTCATAACTCTAGAATTGATTTGATGTATAAATTCATTGAATTATCTTGAAGATAGTGATCAAATTCAGTTTTATAAGTATGTAGTTTTATCTGATTTTCAGTTGTAATCAATGTATACAAGTTCTGTTTCAAAGTTAGTATTATAGTTCTATGTAATATGAAGTGTTATCAAAGATTGTTACTTACTAGAGAATTGTATTTCACTGTCTTCACATCTTGAACATCTACTTATTCAAATCTCTGATAGTTGATATTGTAGTAGTCTCAGACTAATTTGATATATGAGTCTCATTTCTTCTCTGTTCAATCTTGAGAAGTGTAGATATTAACTTGATAAGAGAGATCTAGTAGAGCTGCTACAGTATAGTACTCTGCAAAAGATTGTTTCATTTTGCTGTAGTAATATGCCAGTTTATTCCTTACAGTAATAATAGCCTACAGTATAGTATCATCTCAGACTGAATTTCTTTTTGAGTGATTCAACTGCTTCTTAAGATGAGTAAATAAACTGTTATACACTTATCAGACTAACTGCAGTATTGATGTATAAGTGATTGAGACTGTCTTTATTATCTTATAAAACTGAAACAGTAAATCAATCACATATTTCAACTGAGTTCACTTCATATTAGAAAGTTTTAATATCTGAATCTTTTTCTGATCAGAGTGTTGCACTCAATAATCAATTATCTGACATAATCAAAGAGTCTGAACAGCTATCTTATATATTGAACTTCACTGTGTTCTAATATTCTGTATCATATTCAGTGATGTGACTGATTTATTTATTTATTGAACATCATGAAATCATTATTATTATTTAGAAGAGATATAAATCACATTAATAATATTTCAAGTCTATGATATTTAAATTATTAGTCAATCTATTCAAAATTAACAGTAGTATTATTAAAAAGCATTATCAAAAAGCAATATTAAAAAGTGTTATTAAAAAATATTATCTTTTATAAAGTAAATGTAAAAGTTACTTGAATAATCACTTTTATCTCATTCTCATCTCAAGAATCAGTCATCTTATTATTCTTTATCTTGATATTAAGATTCTTTATCAGTGTTTGTATCACAAGTTGAACTACATGAGTAATGCAGAGAATATGATCTTGTTTATTATTTCAGAAATATAAAGTCAATTTTTGCTTCAAGCTCTTCATCATAGTGTAGTTATTCACTGCATTATCAGTTGTAATTGTAAGAAGACTAGAACTAATATCTCAATAGTCATTTTTAATCACAGTTATTAATATCTCTACTATATAATCCTCAGTATGACTACTGATCAATGATTTAAATTCAATTAATATCTCTTAATAAGTTCAGTTCTCATCAATATAATAACATGTCACTCTTATAAATACAAGATTGTTTGTACTAGTTCATACATTCACTGTGAGAGACACTCTTTGATGATTCTTCAACTCTGATTCTAGATATTATATATTGACTTTGTAGTGTGTCTTGAGATTGAACTGAAGACAGAATCAATGTGAAATATAAAGATTTGAATTAAGCATTTGAAGAAGTGTTCAGAATTCAGGGTTTTTAATTGATTGAAGAGAAAGATTCAGAGATATACACATACAAAGTAATTATTCATAGAAGTTATCAGATGAGAGTTATGAAATCAGAGTACTGATATAAGTTGTTTTCACATGATTTTCTTCAAATTAGAAAGTTAGTGTTATCAAAAATTGTTATCTGATAGAGTAACTTACCAGCTCAGTAGTAATTTTCTGATTATTTTTCTTTTATTGTCTGTATTCTGATGACTTCAGATGTCAGAAAATTTCTTCAGAGATATAATCAGTTTATGATAAATGTTTCTGAATGAAGTTATAGTGATTATAGTAGAGAGATAGCTCTTCAGTAATCTACAATACAATCTGTTGATAATTATTTCATAGTTCATCTCAATATTTGTATTGAGTCTTTCATAAATTTTGTGACCTGAAATCAGATATGAAGAATGAAGTGATTATTCATTATAATTGAAAGAGAGCATTCTGTATTAAATTATAAATAATATAGACTTTGTAATTCACACGGGATTTCTTAAAGGAGTTTTATGAATCTCCAATAGAAGTAAAAGAAAGTGAACGAAGTGAATTTCGAAGATATAATAATAATCTAAGAAAGACGATCATTTATTTCCAATAACTGATCACTGATGTTTGTAAGAAGAATTAATATAAGAGAAAATAATCTTATTTCTTAGCTTAGTCATACTCTTAATACTAACTCAGATTGAATATCATTGATGTATAAAAGTAAATAAACAATCTTGATTAATCTCTGTCATATTTCTTGAAATATATTAATATTGTGAAAGAGAGTGTTACTAAATTACATTATCAGCTAATATCATTAAAAATATATTAATATTATGAATATCAATGTTGAAAAAATGTTGATACTTATACATTATAGTGATTTGTGAATCATGATAGTTAAATATATATATATATATATATATTATTTCTGACTTGATTACAACTTGTACAATAATTTTTAAAAACTTAAAATTAATTTCAATTATTAATAATTATGAACTTATAACTAACTAATATAAAAAGAAAAAAAACTTTTTCTACTCATTATCTTTCTTCTCTTTCTCATTCTTCTTATCATTCTCTATAATTCACTTCTCATTCTTCTTCTTCTTCTTCTCCTCCTCATCTGAGATAATAATTATCTTAAAATCTCTCTCTACTGTCTTCTCAGAGAAGGATTTCTGCTGCTCCTTCTCAGCCAGGTCAATCTGCATCTCAAAATCCCGCATTTCCTGATCTGCTGTCTCAGGTTTCACTTCAGTGATAAGTAGATTGACATGCTCAGAGAGCAGAGCTGTCTTCTCAATGTTCTGAATCATGAAGTGCATTCAAGACCTGAATAAGACTCTAATTCTCTTCTTCTCTTCCAGCTCCTGCTAATCAATTAGAGAATAGAAGTGTTATTAAAAATCATTATCTCTTAATAAATAAAAAACTTATCAGTTTTGACTTCTTTGTCTCTCACTTTAACACTCTCTTAATCTTCTTCTATCACTGCTTATTTGCAGTAACACTCTTCTTCTCTCTTTCTCTCTTTATCTTAATCTTAAATCATTCTTAAGACTTCTCCTGATTTTATCACTGCTGCATGAGACTCTTCACTGTCTTCTTCTTCAATCTCTCATAAATGATGTTATCTGTATTATTTCTATACTTAGTTCAGTCTAAATCTATCAGAAGTGTTACTTAAAATCATTATTATTCTACTCTCTTACAGAGTCTCTTCAAGATATTATAACATGTCTTACAATCTATCTCCTCTTGCTTAAATGTCTTCTTCTTCTCTCTCTTCAATCTGTGATGGCACTCACGCGCCTTGATGATTCACAGAATCACAGAATATTTGAAGAGAGATAACATGATTGATTTCAGTAAGTATTGAAGAGAGGTGAAGGCAGAAGAGACAGTCAGAAATAATATGATAATAATAATAATAATGATAATGATAATGATAATGATGATAATAGTAATAATAATGATGATAGTGATAATAATGATAATGATGATAATGATAATGATGATGATGAAAGAGAAAGTGTATTGAAATATATTACTGACTTATCAAATATAAAGAGACTTAAAGAAAATATTAACAGCTTTCAGTGATGTACAGAAACAGCTACAGTGTTGCATAGCAATATTATCTTCATTCAATACATGCACTGTTGATATTCTTTGTCTATAGTTATCATATAATCTGTATCAGAGATACATGCAGAAAACAGATCTTTATTACTAGAATAAATGATTGCAGCAACTCTCTGTTTTTATATTATAAAGATAAGTTATTCTCATTTCTTTCTTCTCTCTTTTCTCTTCTTCAATCAATCACTAATTCTAAGCTGATATGAAAACTATTAAAACACTCTCAGAAACTCTCAAATTGAAGAGTATAGACTAATTAAATTTTAAATATAGAAGAAATCAAATTATCTTCTACAGATTTAATTACTCACTCTGTCTTAAATAAAACAGCAGTCATGTTCTCTCTCTTCTCTCTCAATCAAATGAAACATGGCCTGTGAAAAGTGAGTATCACATCAGGTCATAATGATCAACACAGCCTCAGCATGCAGGGCTGCATATGCACAGCGCATGCTGAACTGAGAGACTATATGAGTTACAAATCAGTGACAGCATCTCAGAGAGAGCTGTGCAGTGTGAGAAAGCTGCAATTCTTGATTACATGCACAGAGAGTGAATCACTGTAGTAAGTGCATGTGCATTAAAGTAACACTTTTTAATAATACTCAGTCTCTGATATAATGAAAATAGAGTCTCTCTGTGAGATTCATTTCTATCAGAAGTCTGAGAATCTTATATTTCTCAAGACTATCTTCACACATCTTGTTCATGAAATTGATGAGAGAAATCATCAATTTCAGTGTTCTATTCTTGATATCATTCAAGTGATAGCAGAGTTCACCCTGATCACACTTTTTAAGTGTATGTTTTCTAATTATTCACATTTATATAGATATATACTGATTATTTGTTAGATGATGTTAAGATAATGACTTATTACAGTTATATTACTCTCACTGTGAGAGATACACAGTTAGTAATAAACATTGTAAAGACTCTGAGAAGTGAGTATTTTAAGAATACTGCAGCTCTGTGATCTTGATTTTTTTTTGTTTTTATTTTTTGTTTTTTTCTTTTTCTTTTCTTTTTTTTTTTTTATTTTTCTTTCTCTTTCTGTCTCTTTTTTTCTTTCTCTTCTTTTTTTCTTTCTCTTTTTTTTTTTTTTTTTTTTTTTTATTGTGATTTTTTCTTGTTATTTTGTTTTTTATTTTTTTGTTATTTTTTGTATTTTACATTTTTTTTTTTTTTAATTAAAATGATATTAATTATAATCTGTGTTCAGAAAAGTAATGATATTTGATAATACTCTCTATTGAATTTTCAACAAATGAGCACTATGTTATGATATTATATAAGTGAGAAATGATTTCATGGTCTCATTTGATGCTATTTTCAATAATGAAATCAGAATGAAAATGTGACTAAGAATTCAAATATATTCTTTATCTAGAACTAGATTTTTATTTGAAAAGTGAATCTGAAACCTTTAATATTTGAAATAACAGGATTTGAAATCAATGTGATGAACACAAATCATGACCAGGAGTAATGCTTTTAGGCAATGTGACAACTGTAAAGTTTGATCCTGGTCTCAGACACGGTCACACGGTCAGTCTAGAAGTAAGTATTTATATAATTTACACTGAATTGATTATCAACAGAATTTTCAATCAATAATTAATTACTTAAATATATAGATTGAATCTATTTTTACTACTATAATTAACTGTTAATTAATTCAGAATTAATTTAAAATCAATTGAAAATTAATTAAATACTGAAATTATTCTTGAATTTAATAATGAAGTAAGTATTTATATAATTTACACTGAATTGACTATTAACTGATTTTCAATCAATTATTAATTACTTAAATATATAGATTGAATCTATTTTTATTACTATAATTAATTAATAATCAATTTAGAATCAATTCAAAATTAATTTAAAATTAATTTAAAATTAATTATTAAATATTTTTATCTTGATACATTTTAAAATTCTGTAAAACATCTCTTTATATTCTATATAAATTTATCTGTTTATTTAATTAATTATACATACTTTGATTAATTGATGAGCTGAATGAATAAGTGAATTGAAAGATTAAAAGTTAATTACTAACTGATTATTACTGTATTATATGTTGAAGCTACTACACAAGCTCTAATTCACGTGACTCACACACATATATTTAGCTTTCACTAGCTACTAGTTAAATAACAACAACTAACCTCTCTCACATTATACAAGGTCAAAGTCATGATTATGTAATGAGATTAAGTAATATACTTAGCAAGGTTAAGTTTTCTATATATATATTACAGCTGTTGCGGTTAGTAATCTCACTAGATTATGTGACTTATCACTGTATTATATTCTTGTAAATAGATTAATCAATACAATCTTTAACTATTTTACAGATTATAGTCTGAATGACACGTTTTTAACAAGAATAGTTTATCTTTTTTAAAAAGACTGTAAGAGGCCTACGCTGAATAGATTGATATAATAAATAGAACTTATATAACAAAGAGAAAAATGTTAAAGAAGAAAAAGAAAGAGAAAGTATAAGAGTCAGTAATTAAAGTGAATATTTATACATATATATGATGATGTACACAGTGAAGTTTCAGAGTGGAAGAATCTATACACATTCATAATAACTGAGAATCAGTGATTAAGAATGACTGAGAATTGAAGTATACATGTTTAAGAACACATTTAAGAATAAAGTAATAGAAATCTGTGAAGTGTAACAGAATAGTCTATATAATTAATCAGATATAGTTCTGTTATATTACCCTCTCTCTTCTCTGATTATGCATAGTTCTCATCAGTTAAGAGCTGCAGTCTCAGATAGCACAGAACTCAGAGTTCAGATCAGTCAATTATAATTAACTCATTTCATTAAGATATTATCAGCTGCAGCTGCAGAGTCTCTTATCAAGAATATCTTCAATCTCTTACTTAAGCTTATTATCTTCTTCTATAATCTCTGATGACTGTCAGTCAGAAGTCAGTTGAGAAGAGAACAGATCAGTGATAGTGTAGTGAAGTAAGCTTGTATAAAAGACATTATAAATCTCTGATGATATATTAAGACAGTAGTTATAACTATCTAGAACTTCTATCACTTTATACTTAATATAACAGTAATTCAGTGTATAAGATGAATATATAATCTGTATATTCTTAAGATTCAATCATACTAGATCTTCTATCTTATTTACTTAGTGAGATCC